TTTAAAATATATTTTCTAAACTTACCCAAACAGTTTAATGTCATCCATTGACAGAACGCATCATGATTGAAATCATTGGAAGTATACAACTTTTCCCACTTCTCAATCAGGTATTCGTTTGCCTAAAAACAAAACAAATATGCTGTTAAAAAGCAGAAATGTTAAAATCGTTTTCTACGGATCATATACCTTATCAGTAATATAGAAAAGTTTAAAAACAAGTTTGTTTGCTGCAAAGTACTTAAAATACAATGTCTTGGTAAACAAACAAGTGATTAAAACGTTTCGAATAGGTTTATTTCTGTTTAGACATTGAATATGATGCAGTTGACAGGACACTTGAGGGCCCAATCACATGAATAAATTTTAGTTTAGTTCGAGAACATTCCCAGAAGCTTAGAAGCAACATAAAGAAAAAGCGTTTTTACAATCATAAACTTTCGAGAATGCCGAAAGTAGAATATCATTTTAGAGTGAAATAAATCTCGGCTCTGATGAAATTGAATATCATTTTAGATGAAATAAAACTCCGTTCTGTCCAAGAATAAACTTACCCCGAAAAAGACAAAGCGATGCTTTAGTATGAAGAAGTATAGCCAAAGATAGTGCATATTTTGCAAGACCTCACGAGAAACTCAGCAAAAACAATTAAATGGTACATGAATGAAAAAGGCAATGTCTACAGGGCATGTCTATTCTCATGTATTGGACCGAACTCTCAACACTTTACAGACATCGTTTGAAGAAGCTGTATCTCTTCATGACTAGTCATCTTTGAAATCAAAGCCTAAAGGACAAAGTGGCTAGTAAAGAAATACTAGAAAAAACATACTATCTCCTGAAAGAAAGTAACTCACTTTAACTGGCAATTTTGCCGGGCTAATTATACTCCCGAAATTACCAGTTGGCCGTAAGAAGAGTGATATACAACTTTTTTGATACAATGATACTATCAAGAGACATTTGAATCAGAGACACATCAAGACGAAATACTGGACAAAGCTCTCACAACAAAGAATTGAACAGAAACAAACTGTGAAGAAGCTGACAAAAACAATAGACTGCAAATAAAGTTTAAGATAAAGCATATGACAGTTATGTTCAGATAGAGCAAATGATGGAATAGTAGATTACAATTTGCAGTTGTATAATAAATGTATAATGAAATGGGAATACATTTTAATGTGTGCAGCTCTATTGCAAGATAAATGATATGACATGATGACAAACAATTATGATGAAATTTTCATTGTAGGCACACAACAAATGACAATTTTGTCACAATTGAGATTTATAACACTTACTTTGCTTGTGTCTGACTCGAGGTTCACATAACCCGCAGCGCCTACAAATAAAATGTGTGGGGAATGTAACAAACACTTAAAAAATGAGAAAAAAATCATAAACATAATATTCCTCCGATAAAATTTTTAACAACTAAATGTATTCAAATCAGTATCAAAACAGTTTTAGACGTCGGAATATTGTACGAAAATTCTTATTGTACATATTTCGTGATGTATTTTACATGTTACCAAATTGTTTTTTTGCGTAAAATTGCTACATTATGCATATATATAAAAAAGTAAACCAAGTATCTAAAGTGATCTTGCTCCCTTATTTCTCAATTTAAATGTAGTTGTAAAACTCGAACATGCTTCTATTTTGTAAGTGCTCTTATGTTTTAAAACTTCAAAAAAAAAAAATTAATGTGCCTGGAGATACAAATACATGTTATTATGTTTCTTGTACATAATCTAATAACATAATAGTAATCATAATAATAACAACTTTATTTAGAGAAGGTAAAACATTAAGACACACAGATTGTAAAACCTTATTTACAATGCAACCTTTTACATAACATCATATTAATCGAAGAAACTATAACATGTTAAAGAAATCACTTCATGGTAATTATATAGTGTTGATTTTTACCACACATACTGAACATTCATACAATATATGTTATCAACTATCATAAAACACATAGATATGTATAATGTTTTGTTTTGATTGTAGAATTACAATTATATGTAAAACCCAAACTATAAATAAAACAAAATGGTAATCTTGTTTGTTCCAAGTGTATACTAAATTTACTATGTAAGAAAGGATTTTATAAATATATTTCATTCTTTAATCAATCAAAACAGTTTTTAACTTAAGTACATATACCGCAATTATATCCTTAAACAGGAAACGGACGAAAGATATGATTAAGATGTAATCAAAAATCAATAACATTATATACTATTACCCTCAATTCGACAAACAGTTTCTTAGAGATATACTATGCTCAAATTTGATTTTTAGAAATATTAATAATTGCTACATAGTCTCTTTGTATGTATGAAATAAACATGTTTCGACTTCATTGAAAGTAGATATGTTATGTTTTGAACTCTACATGCTACTGGTGGTCACAATATAAATATATAGTGTCATTAAAAACCTGGCAGTTTTTTAAGAAAAAAAACAACTTTACATAACCCGTATTAGGGAATGCAGCTCCCTATACATAGTTTATTCATTAATTTATTCAAATTAAACATACTCAGTAAGATGTTCATGAATTTCAATACATTTCTAAGATAAAAATGTTTTACCCAAAAATGAGCATAGTATATCTTTAAGGTTCTTAGCACATTCAGATTAATTGATAAAGTGTTACAAAATTGATTTCAATCTTCGATACTTACTATTGAAATACAATATCAGTAAGGTATAAGCCTTTATATTCATCATCGTCCACATCATATACAGACGTAAAATGACTGCACTAAATGTCTTTGTGTACGAGTCTGCAATATATAATGCATATTCAGCTGCATAAAAATGATATACATAATTACATTTAATTTTCCAGTCTAGACGATGTTGTTATGTTGTATTATTGAAATACAAGCAAATGTAAAAGTAAATAATATTTTTATATGTTTATAATTAGATGACAATTTAGTTGCCTCACGCCAATTTACGAGTAATATAATAGAAATATTTTGCTGTAGTTCATAGTTTAAACGTTATATCTTATTTTCAGAAAAAAAGCAATGAATTTATTTGGAATGCAATAGTTACCATTACATGTAACGTCATTAAGAAGCAAAAAGATGTCTATGTTCACAGTCATGATGATCCTTTAAAATGTTCATTATGACATTAACATGCCATTTAGTTTTAACATTTTTTTTTACAATCGATTTAATAATAATAAATTTATTGATTAATACATGTAAGCGAGCATCCCTTTGTAAAAGTAAAAATAAATAAACTTAAAGGGACTCCACTGAGGATTATTTTTACATGACGGGACTGGAAATAATTTTTTGAGATTATTACTCCATTTGGTTTAGATCTAGACCTATAACTTATGTGCAAAGTTTCAGATCATTAGCTCGCTCCGTTTTTCCAGAATAATTATTATAATTGTGTAAAATGACCCAAAATTGAAAAGCGTTTAAACGCTTTTCACTCAAATCGGACAGACATACGGTTTTTAATATATTTCTTATATATTTCTTAATCATATCTTATTTATGTTTCTGTTTTAGTTGCTCATGTTTATCTACTTGAAAAATTTAGATTTTATGTTTTTAGGCTTATAAACCTCAGAGGAGTTCCTTTAAAGTATCAGTATATATTCAGGTAAATATATGTTTATTGTCTCTATATAAACGTTTTTTTTACACAAGAAACACTTGCAATAATGTCCTTGTGGGTAAAATATTTGATACTAATCGAATCATATATAACATTCTCAAAGCATTTCTTATAGAAATTCCACTGAGGTTTTTTTACCTGACTGGACATGTGTACATGTACATGTGACCGGCAAAAAATGGCCTCAGGTCGATCATTAGGTAAGTCGTTTCCAACGTTGAAAAGCCTTTACTCACTTTGAAATCAGTTTGATTAAAAAAAACAATGCAAAATAATGATTTTTGACAATTTTGAGACGCCTGCCGTTGCCATGGTTACGCAATTAAAGATTGAGCATGCTGTTACAGAGGCTATGGTCCTGTCCACATTTGTGCCAAGTTTCATCAGTACTGGGGCATTTTTCATAGTTGCATATATAGCAGTTTGAACTTGTCACAGGAGGCTTTTCAATGAAAACGGCCATTTTCACAATATGTTCATGTGGTAAAGAGATTAGGAAAACCAAATAGTAATAAATGTAGTCAATTATTCTGATTTCCTGTAGGTAATGTAGTAATGTAGGAATTTACATGATCAAGTATCTTCTTAAAGTTGACATTAAAATTTACTTAGACGCCTTGATTTAATATCTATTCCAACAATTACATTACAAACAACTTTATTTACATGGTTGTTGTCGTTTGTTGGACACTAATAAGTATTTGTAACCGTTTGGAAATCACTTATTATATTCTAAAAGGAATACTTTACAAATACTACACATACTGCATTACCTGTTTACAATGTGTGTCCACAAAGTGCATTTGATCCTTCATACTTAAACACAGTTTTACTTTATTTACATTGCTTACTTTAACACCATTTTATTCATGTCGAAATTTCATGTTTGAACTCCACAAACAGTTTGAAGTCTAACTCGACAAAAGGTTTTGAGTTGGAAATCTACATTTTTATTTCAAAATGAAGTGACAAAACAAGAAATGATGTGTTGCTTAAGGCTTTTTCGAATGTTTTTACAGCAATATCATCTATTATGAAGACCTAAATTATCTTTGTATGTTTAAATTAAGTGCTTCTTTGTAATATTTTCAAAACTTTCAAAATCTCTTAAAACAATAATTATTTCACATATCTTAAAAGCCTGTCAACGATTGTTGAATAATATTATTTTTAAGAAAGTAATATAAGTTATAACGTTTTACTGTGATAAAACATATATAGGTATTTAAATATGTTGCCATAGAATATAACCTTGTTGAGTACACTACTAAATTATATTGAACTAGTACACAGCTATAAAACCTGTGTTGGACTTGGCGCTTGGCAACATGTTTAATACAAATAGTACTGTATGCAACAATGTAAATAATTTGACATTTTCCGAAATATTTTTCTTCAAGTACGTTGATAAAAAAATGTTTTGGACTTTGAAAATAAAAACAAAGTAAGTCAAGACGGTGAACAAGTGCCATGCTTTAGAAATTAAGAGTTTAAAATGAAAACGACACACAATGGAGTACAATTTTTTTATATGGCTTTTGTTGACTCGTAAAATATAAAAGAGGTAGCATCCAATATTTATTTATATTTGGTAGGTCGCATGGTGCAAACGCTGAAATGCCATTGGTTATTTTTTCTAAGTTTTCAATTGAAACGGTAAGACTCTTTGATCACTTGACTTAACGCATTTAAAGACATGAAAATTAACTTGTTAAACATTTTAAGTGAGTGTGTTTTACTTAGCCGTTTTTTGTTTTAAAAGGTTTAAAGGGAAAAAAGCCATGGCGATGTTATATAACACTTGTTTAATATAAAGACAAAATGCAACAGTTATTTTGCATACGATGTGATTTAATGAAAATGATTTATTATAACTTCCTTAAAATCAAATTACTCTAAAAGAATAAAAAGCTTTTGAAAATGAATATATTAATGGTAATGTTGAAAAAGAATGAAATGAAATGCACACATTATATGTGAATAATGCAGACAAGATACTAGTATTGGACATTTTAATCATAGAATCATAGTACATTTATTTTACTTAAGAATCAGACACTTTATTTCTTAGAGAAATGAAGCATCATCGGATCAGAAACACACAATTTGGCCTTTTCAGTATTTAAGAAATTATGAAATCGAGAGAAATACAGAATCCATAAAGGAAGTACAAAACGACAAAACTATTTTCAAAATTAATCTATATAATGTTTCTTCAATTAATAAGGCTGCTTTGATGCATGTAAACAATTAATATAATGTGTTATTGAACATTTCTACACCTGTTCAATAAATTAAAAGACAGGCGTGGAGATTCTGTTGTATAAATTGTTTTAATTGCATCTAAAAAACACATTAGTTAATAGTTCTAATAGTTCTAAGATATGTAAATATTTGAATATCAGCTGGCGATTTTAATACTGTATTATTGTACAGTGTATACCTGAAATATTGTATTCCAGTATTATAGGTTGTTATAATCAAAGCAAATTGTTAATGCATATGCCTCGCAGAAAATAAAATCAAGTATATAATATTGTAAGCAATTTCAATGGAACAGCTAATATCTTTATCAGAGAAGAGTAGTCATTTACATGTTAAACAATTTCTTTTGCACTTAGCATATTTTATTAATACTTGGCCACAAACTATTTTAAGAAAGTGCTGAAAAATGGAATTAAAAAATTAAATATCGATGACTAGATGTTAGCAATTAAAGGTTAAAACAGCAAACAGAACATTTTTATAAGCAAACAAAAGATAATCGATTGTTAATGGCATGGATAAACCATTGCTGGGTAAGGCCTGGAAATGTTATCGATGCAAATAAAAAGGATTAAACACTATAATAGTTTGTCAAGTATACTAAGTTGTTTTGCTTCTAAACAGGAAACTCTTCTTGCAATACCTTATACATTAGGTTCGAAATCAGTAAATGACATTTTTCTATTATCTAAACAAGGCCAAAAACGTTTTTCACTAAGAACGTAAATAAATATATGCCTGTCAATTTTTATTTTAACTTTGAACAGGATATTTTACAAAAGGTATAACTAGTTTAAAGTTGTTTTTTGTTAGCTGTCCAATTAAATGTACCACTATTATAATATGTTTCTAACCGAGCATAAAAATGTCATGGGTATATCTGGCCTGTTTCATTGTTAACAGCTTTCACAGATACAAATACATGAATTAGGTAGGTAAATTTGTATTTACAAAGGTCATTTACCACATTCCTCCAGTACTGTTGATTTTTTAAATATAACTCTCTTAACTCAAACATGCATTTTACATAAATCTTTATATACGGTTTCATGTATTAAAAACACAAACTTGTAAGTAACAATATATTAATCGTTTTACGAAAACAACTAACAATTTTAGGTATCCGTTAATGATGATCGAAATATGGTATCTAGTTTGGCGAACTACTGAATTACCGTTATTATGCTGTTATCCTGTTACTAGATGTTATTCCGAGTCTTGGGGTAGATTAAAAAATAGATATGTAAAACAGCGGGGGTAGGGGTGGCGTGCAACAACCACAAATAAGTAAGCTTATTGATTCTTATTGACATGGGTTATTTTCCGAGATCTGCTAAATAAATGTGTACCAACAATATCCAAATAATATGTTTTATTGCTAGATGGCTTGAAGTATTATTATTATTATTATTATTATTCTACTCCCTCTGATAGTTTACTAATGTTTTATAAACAACGTTGACGTATGATAAACGGTCTTGATGATTTTGTCAAATGATGTTTTAAAATCAACGTAAATAAAATGGAATTTTCCTTTTATTTGGATAAATATTTCTGTGACATGTGTCATTTACTGAAAAATTATTTAAAAAAACACGCACAAAAACATGCCGTAAACTTGCATGTGACACGTTGAGAATTTGAAATGTTGTAGGCTCGGTTTGATTGGTATTGGTAATTGTAAGCTACTGTCCACAAGCCATCGATTTTTGTATTGCTGTTTGTAATTGTTATTATTTACCCCTAAGTGCATTTTTATAATCGCTGACAGTTAAATAAACCCACACTGACATGTCCATCATAATTTTGCTTACTCCCGTATAAACTAAAGCACTAACGACCTTATTTCAATGTACGTTCGTATCCACGAGGTGTTTGTGTTCTGATTATGAAGACAGAATAAAATAATCTCACTTCCTTTCCATTTAATAGGGTCGAAGGTCCGGATAAATTTTACGATGATGTATGAACAGTAGTCAAGATATTAAACAGTTAAACTATCTTTGTATTGACTCTTATTACTTTTTACATCAATCGGAATTTGAATTAATACTAAGTCATGAATAAAAGCAAAACAGTCGGTATTATATATTGAAACAGGCTCTAATTTTAAAATATGTTAAACACTTAGTAAATCAACATGTATGACTGTATGATTTATGAACTAAGTAAAATGTAATTCGTCGTTACTTTAATATGTACAATTAAACACATGACACTCTTGATGTTCAATAAATTTTCATTCTATAAATACATTAATATGTTACCGAAGGATTTGTTTTTATTTATTATTGTTTTACTAACATACCTTATCAGTCCTCAAATCAAACTGTAATGATAATGTATCCCATTGGTTTCCATAAATAAATAATCAAAAATGAATCAGTTATAATACCGATTCATTTGAGTATAATAAATTTGACTGGATATTTTCAAGTTTACCATATCTTTTATTATTAATCTATATTTATCGTAGAGAAACTTGAACTATTTAAAAACATAACAAAAAATAACAACTTCAATACAAGATCTACTAAATGTTTTACAAAGTGATAACTTAAAAAATGCAAAGTATTGATCTTTTGTTTGCTATTGAATCATTTACATTTTCTCTTAAGACAACGTATGTTTAAAGCTATATTATCCTCAATTTTGATACTTGAAAATATTGAAAATTGATACACTGTATCTTTGTAAATATATAATCAACATATTTAGACTTCACACAAAATAGATATGTTATGTTTTTTTTTAAACACTAAAGGTGGCCACAATATGAGTATACAGTGTCATAAAAAAAAACCTGGCAGATTTTTGTTTAGAAAGGACCAATTTTATTTGACCTGTAATGGGGAATGCAGCGTCCCATTAATAGTTTGAAATTCTTTTATTCAAATTAGATATCTTCACTAAAATTTTCATAGATTTCAATAACTTTTTGCGGTAAAATTATTTCACTCAAAGATAAGCATAGTATATCTTTAAATATCAATGCATATATAAGTTACGACCAAAATATCGTGCTTAAAGAGAAATAGGTTTTCATTTCCTCCACCTTTGTACTTATATTGTAAAATAAATTTTAACACTTTCCATGTAATGCCATTTTAAAATGGATTGTAAGACTCTTACACTGAAAGAGACAAATTCATCCAAGGCATATAGATTTATTTAGAAAAACCTGCGCTTCATAAGTGATATACATTCAAAGTTATATTGAAACAAATATGATTTTAAAAGACAGTCACTAAAATATTCAGTCGGTTTTGGTTACACTGTCAAGAAATGTATATATAATATATATACATAATATTACATTAAATTAACAATCTGTCATGATAACAAAGTAAAATAACTGTTTTTTCACGATCGAATGCCTGTTGTGGTATTTGTAGTCGTGAATTCGGTAATAAGAAATAACAACCAAACATTATTTAAAAACCAGAATCTAATGCATCTTGAAAAACGTCAGGGGTCGACTCATTCGTATCCGTTGCAGAGCGTATGAAATAATTAATCATCGTTTGAACAGGAAAACGTCCGTTTACAGGCCTAAAGATCGTCTGCGGCAATAGTATTGTGTCGAGATGCAAACACGTTAGTAAGAAATTCTTCTTTTGAAATGATATAGTCATCGTTCAAGTCCATCATTTCGCACCAATCCGAGATGTACTCGCGAATCATTTCAGTAAATACTTCTTTGTCTGCTTCATATTTTTGCTTCAGCATCTCTACAAAGTCATCTTTAGTGATTTCCAACGTGTTGTTTAAAATTATTTTCCTCCATATTCGATCCGTTCTTTTATTGATTTCCTTTAAGTGTTCGTCACTCAGGTAACCCAGGTCTTTGTAATAGTTCCTGTTATAAATACAATACTGATTATTGTATTTATTTCATTAAACAACTAAACATCATTAAGATTGTCCTTTTAATATTTTATGATTAAACTCCTATTTTCTGTTAATGAAAAGAGAATAAAAAAAGATAATATAAGCATAATTACATTACTTTGATATAGAAAACATATTTGAAAGAAGAAGCACTGCCAAGCATTTCGATTTGCTATACAGACTATACTGACCCTAACATGTCGACAGAGTCGTTAATTGTCAGGTTATTTACAACTTTACAGAATATATATTAAATTTTTCATATATTTTTATATAAGCTATATTATACGGAACAACGAGAAATACAATTATACAAACATATTTTATTGTTTTTGAAAAGAAATATTTTACAACCTTTTATCAAATAATGGGGTTTAAATTTGCTTCCCAATCATATAAATATGTGCTCATTGTGATACATTTGCAGATGAGATCAGATTATATGTACTGGATAGTTTGGTAATATAATTTCTAATAATTGCGGATTTTTTTTACTACTTTATCAAAGTTAAAATATTAATTTCTTACTTACTCAAATAGTTTAATATCATCCATTGAGAGAACTCTATCACGATTGAAATCATTTGCATTAAACCAGCTTTCCCACTTCTCTATTATAATAATAGTACTGCAAATCAGCCTATTTTATTAGCCTATTTAGAGGGGTAAGTGGTCTATGTCAGCCAACAGCAAGTTTCATATACAAGAATGTTTGACTGTATATGTAGTTTCCGGAATGGATATTCATTTGACCCGACCCCGATGCGAAGCTAAGATATCCAAGATAGCGTCAAAGATGGCCGCCACATTCTAAATATTCTAGTATATTTACGTTGGCTAATATTTTTCTCAGTTTTTTAAATCAGTTGAAATTTAACATGAAATGATTTATTTTCTAACTCACTAATGCTATAAATTCTGGCTTTAATACATTTCTTTTCAGTTTTAATCATCTTATTTTAACGAAAAGAGAAAAAAATATGTTGCAAACTGGGTGACCTTCTCTTAATATGTGTAACTTATTACTTCATTTTTGATAAACATTTATGATTTCCTTTAATACAGCTTTAAACATGTATCTGTATATCTTTAGAATAAGTGAAATCTGCCATAAATATATTTAATTGATCTAAACACATATACAAAGTGGGTGGGGTATTACCTGCAGCGGTCAACTGTAAATTAAATACTTCTTTGTGTTATATTATAATGAAAAGTGATATTAAAAAGATTGACACTATTTTGAATTAATAAGCGATGAGAAATATTTTCTTTCATAGATAATGCCCTGCATGTGTGTCTTAATGTTAAACTATCTCTTTTAATTTCTATATGCACAGAATAAGGAACTAATTGACTGACCTGCAATTTAGTATTCGCGTTGACCTTGTGCTAGCCATTGGTTAAGGATAATTTTGCAAGTTTCTTCCTCCTTAGCATTAAACAGTCATTGTCAGACTTCAAATATGATTTTGATTCACTTTTCAAGACCCATAACCTAAGCATTGATTAAGAAATAATTATATTGCTTTATAAACTTAAAATAATTTCTATGGACAAGATTTATCTCCACAACCATTGAGGTAATGCACTTGAAACTAAACACATCTTTTGAGATCATTATTGTAGGTTACTTCCCTCTTACATGTTTCTTCAAAGAAATTCAAAACTTTATGAATAAGAAAATTCCTTATTCATTCAGGCTGATGATTTTGAATATTCGAGCTTGCTGTTCGATATGCAGCTCTGGTTTGATAAGTATTATAATTAATAATTGAACTGTGTTTGGAATTTTGTAATTATTGATGACGGATATAATATAAACATTAAAATGTAAAATGTAATTTGCTAGAACATTTGAAGTGGTAGGTAATTCATTTTACAGTAAGAGACTTTCCTGCTAGACTTGATCTGAATTATGAACAAAATAGTATATCTATATTGGGTGAATTGAAATAAAACAACAAATTATGAGGGCACTTTCTTTTTAGCTCGACTATTCGACGATTAGGGAGAACTATCCTAGTTCCCCGAGCGTCGGCGTCGGCGTAACCACTTACGTTAAAGTTTGCGTACCACCTCACATATTTTTAAAGTCCATTGACATAATTATGGCTTTGAAACTTGCACACTTGTTAACCATCATGCCCCCAACCTGAACACTGGAGGAGGTAACTCTATCAAGCATTTTGACATAATTATGTCCCTATTTTCAACTGTGAATTTACATTAAAGTTTGTGTACCACCTCAAATATTTTCAAATTCCATTGACTTCTGGATTTGAAACTGTGTACACTTGTTCAACATCATTCCCCCATTCTGTACACCGGAGGAGGTATCTTTATCAAGCATTTTGACAGAATTATGCCCCTTATTCGCCTTATATTTTACGTTAAAGATTGCGTACCACGTCAGATAATTTCAGAATTTCAAAGTCATATCGCTTTAAGACCTTGCATACATTTCCCCCATTATAATCTCAGCCTGTGTACAGGAGGAGGCTACTGTATCAAGCTTTTACTTTACAATATAATGCTCCATTTTTCTACTATCACGCACTGAACATAGTCGAGCACGCTGTCCTACTGACAGCTCTTGTATATGATTTTTGAGAAAATTTATAAATGATTTGTTTCAAACTGTTGTTACATTAATGGGAGGAATAAAGAAGAGCTTATAATTCAATGTGGCCATACCACGTGACTTTTCGGGTACGGAACACGCCGATTTTTCACCCGATTCAGGTATGTTTTTTATTCATAACTTATTTATTACTCAACCGATTTTGATCAGATAAGGCGCAGAGTACCCGTAATTATATCAGCTTTTCACAGTATATCAAAATTCTGAAAACCCCTGAATGGTTTTTGAGAACATTCGAGTACAGTTTTCTTCTCATAGCCGGGGCCGAGGGAAACGGTACACACTCATTTGTCTTAACAAGCGATTTCTAGCAAGTCATATGTTTTTTGTCACTATTTCATGGAAAAATACATGTTAAATCCAATATATTTACTATGTCCAATGTATCGAGTGAATGCAGTGATGTTTTAGCATATTTTCATAAAGTTATGTTGAAATGGTACGGAACACACTGTCATTTAAAAAGATACGGTACACACACAATTTCTGTCTTTGAAATAATTCTAAAATAAAATATATGAAAATTTAATTTAAATTATAATATGAGTGATTTTTTTTCATAGTTATACATTTTATTAATTTAAACAAGAACCCTGGGACCTGTTTTGCAATGTATCATTATGCTTACTTCAAATGTTAATATGTATTTGTGTATTATATTTCAGGAGATCACGCTAACATTTACAACCTCCGTGTAATTGTGCTATTAGTACTTAAAATCCCCTAGGGTATGTTAAACACTTCGATCTTCAAAGAATCATGTAGTTGCGTTTAAAATGATTGATCTATAGAAAGAAATGTTGTTATAATGCTGTGTTTATTGTTGTTGTTGTTGTTGTTATTTTTATTTCTTTTAGTTTTAGTGAAGTGTAAGATATGTCTTTTTGCTTCCTCCTGAAAAAATAAAACAATGTCATGACCTAAATCGCTGAAAAATATAATTACGTGATAACATTATATATATTTATTTTTTGTTAATAATAAGTAAGTCACTAAGTACAGTTTTGCAGTATCATGGTCATGTTTAATTAAATCAAAGCACAGAAGGCGCTGAATATGTTTGGGTCTCAGAATGTCAGAAAGGTGAAGGTTGTGAGATTACTAACCAATTTGTTTTTGTATAGTGCCACCAATGCTGTTTCCAGTGTTATAACTGCAGCAAATTGGCTATAAGGCTTATTGCAACACTGATATTCAATTCAATGTTTATTTGGCTTGAAAAAAAATTAAATAAAAACATGAGTTGCCTTAAATGGGATTTGAGCTCAGGACATCTCTCTTTCTAAACGAGCGTGTAATTATCCCCTCGACCACGAGGAAGTTCTACGATAACAGCCTGAAGAAAACCATATCATTCTAAATTAGGGTTTGTAACCCTTATTTATTTCGTTTAACACTGATGCAAATAATCATGGAGCTTAATATTGCATGTATATCTGTAAAGAATGACACAATATTTGAAACCTTTGACCAATCGGGAAGTACTTTTTCTTCCCTTGAGAAGGCTTGAAAATTAATGCGCCTGCCTTTTGACTGTCTTTACGCAGTGATCTCCCCTTATTTTTTCGGCGTTAGAGTACTTGTAAAGGTAAGTAACCGCTTCGAGGAGTTCGGACTACTTTCTGATGTTGCAAATAAGCATATCAGAGTCTGAAATTTCGCTACGACCCAAACAAATAAAAATGTAGTTGCCATGTCTCAAATTTTTTATGTTTAAAGACATGAAGCTTTAAGAATAACTTTTAATTCAGGTAATATAGGTCATTTTTGGTTTGGTTTCACGCCTCACCAAAACTGACATGATCATGTGGCGACTTTCCAGTTTTACAAGTGCCCCTTTAGGTATATATAAAGCTACGAACGGGCACCTGAGTAGAACGACCAACGTTCTTTACGGTAGTTAGAAAACTTTCTCACATAAAAAATCGAAACATCGAAGTCATAGGTGGTCTCCTACCTATTCATGTAGTATATAAAACAGAACCGCAGCCTCCATAGCATTTAATTGATCAAATGGGTATTATTAAAATATCAAAAGTGTACTTGGAGTGCACTATCCTCGTAAGACGTTGTTTAATCATTTTATTTTTAACACAAACACGCAAGCACACATATCCATGAAATCATGTTTTTAAAGCATCTTTTAATGAAAGTCCAAGATAGGCATAATTTCACCAAAATTTCTTACATGCATATGTAACAAGGTTACCTTGTGTAAACTACGTTACGTTATATAACAGGCCTTATTCCCATATGGGTTCTTCAAATTATCCGGCTTTTAATTTTGAATGCACGTAAAACTGAGGAATATCTTTGTCCATATGTAGATAATTTGATAATTAAATACATGCAGTTAGTTTGGGACCCTGGCAGATGATTCATACGCAGAAGAATACCTTAAACTTTCCGTGATTTAAAAAATCCAATTTTATCAAAACCAGCGTTTTTTTTTCTCTAAATTCTCCAGATTCGATCAACATTTAACTGCTTGTTTTTTTATATTCATATTAGGTTTAGACAGTCATTTATATATTCGAACAAATAAATTAAATGGAAGAATAATCGCACATAACAGATGTCAATGAATTTCATAATTTGTTTTATAATCCGAAAAAAATACATAATTATTTCAAATGAAAAACAAAACAAAAACAATTTTGAATGTATTCCGTATCCCTCCCTAAAATATTTACATTTTATAGCCAAATATTAATTGTTTAACATTAAAAATCGAATTTTGCGTTACGTTCTCTCCAAATGTTCTTTTATTTTTTTAGTAATCCTGTTTACATCAAATTGTAAGCATAATGATACATTGCAAAACAGGTCCCATGGTTCTCGTTTAAATTAATAAAATGTATAACTATGAAAAAAAATAACTCACATTATAATTCAAATTAAATTTTCATATACTTTATTTTAGAATTATTTCAAAGACAGAAATTGTGTGTGTACCGTATCTTTTTAAATAACAGTGTGTTCCGTACCATTTCAACATAACTTTATGAAAATATGCTAAAACATCACTGCATTCACTCGATACATTGGACAAAGTAAAAATATTAGATTTAACATGTATTTTTCCATGAAATAGTGACAAAAAACATATGACTTGCTAGAAATCGCTTGTTATGACAAATGAGTGTGTACCGTTCCCCTCGGCCCCGGCTATGAGAAGAAAACTGTACTCGAATGTTCTCAAAAACCATTCAGGGGTTTTCAGAATTTTGATATACTGTGGAAAGCTGATATAATTACGGGTACTCTGCGCCTTATCTGATCAAAATCGGTTGTGTAATAAATAAGTTATGAATAAAAAACATACCTGAATCGGGTGAAAAATCGGCGTGTTTCGTACCCGAAAAGTCACGTGGTATGGCCACATTGTAATTGGACGACAATAGCTAAACATTTCCCTGGCGGGTATTTGATACTCGATAGTAAAATAGATAAATACAGAATCCCTACAAAAAGCCCAACACGGCAAAATTGAAAATGTGCTAGGTCCTAGGGGGGGGGGGGGGGCGAAGT